TTTTTTTTTTACTGTTAATAGGCTAAAGTCTAAAAATGGTCCCATAAAGTCAGGCTTGTACAGTGTCCTTGTGAATGTTGGCACACTTGCCCAGAATGTTGAATTTTAATATTATAAAGGGAGGAGTACCAAGTGTGAGGTTGATAATGGAACTCACTATTTGCTCAGAGATTGTTGCTCTGTTAGTGTGCATCTATACAGCACCCTAAACTCGAAATACGAGATGCAATTTGTGCTATGCAAATTGTGTTTCTGATTTCAATTCTGTTTTGAAATAGCTTATTTTAAAATTTGGGGCATCTACATATTCTGAAATAACAAGTTATTTCAGGACATCCCATAATCCTTATGGAATGGGGTTTACAGGAATGCCAGAATTTTTTAAATCTTTTTTTTTCATGCATCAGAAAAGGTTAATTTGAACTGGTAATGCATTTTTAATGAAGATTATTCATGACTGTCTGGGGGCTGCCCAGCTTGAGGCGGGCGGTAACTGCCCAGTGAGACCCGAAGATCCCTCCCACCGTCGGGAACAACCCCTGGCGCCATGCTCTACGCCAATTGAGCTGTGGCTTATAACCGGTAAACTGTTGCTCCCCGTGTTGTTTCCGCGCTAGTAGCGCTAGCGAGGCTGGAGTGTCCTCTCCAGGGTTGCGAGATATGTTGGTAGTCGGATACTAGCCAGGGCGATGTAATATGCAGGAATAGGAGATATGTTGGTAGTCGGATACTAGCCAGGGCGATGTAATATGGAGGAACAGGCTATTGCCCACGTAGCGGGTCCCCCCTCTCCACGTCGTCGATGGATCCAAAGGAACAGCAGGGCTGCTACAGTTTGGCATCGGCGCCGTCGCAGGAGTTGCCAGAGCGAGGCTGCAAGCAGCGTCGAACTGTCTTAGGGACTCCGACTCCGGATTTTTCCTCGAGGTTTACTCCTGAAGCCTTTTCCATGGAAGAATATAGCCGCAAGGCAGCGGAGGTTTAAAATCAGGGTTTTCCTTCCCCTAGATGAACTGCCTTCCTAGGCTGACGAGTATCATCTCCCTGAAGCAACTGGTTATAAGGAGCCAGTGACCCGCCTGCACCCCTTCTCCTGTCAGTTAACACAGTTTCGCCGGGTTTACAAGCTAAACCGCACGTGAAGGCCAGGAGCTGGACTTGGTTGTCAGAGGCTATTGGAGACGCACGCCGTATAGGGGTACTTTATAGACAGTGGGAGCTTATCCCCACTACCACCCCTGGCTATGACAACCTTGGAACCAATGCCGAAATAGCGCGCCCGTTATTTAAAAAAATATTTCAAAATAACAGGCAGGGTAAGATGTTAAGATGCAGGGCAGCTATTTTGGGTTACCTCTGGTATCCCGAAATAGCCACACAGTGTAGACGTACTCTTAGTGTCTTCCCTGTTTTTCTTTGGAAATGTTCAGGAAAAAGCAACACAAATGTTTAGGTGTATGACCTTTCTTTTAGGCCTTTCCTGCTTAGAAAAAGAGACGATTAAGGTGGGATGTGACAGAGGTCAATAAAATCATGGCTCATTTTGGAGAAGGTAAATAAGGAGCTTTTATTTACTCCTCATAACACAAGAACTAGGACTCACCAAATATTTTAAACATGCTGCCTATTCAAACAAAAGGAAGTATTTCTTCACACAACCCACAATCAATGTGTGGAATTCTCTGCCACGGGATCTTGTGAAGGCCAAGACTATAAAAGGGTTAAAAAAAAAGAACTAGATACATTCATGGAGGCTAGGTCCATTAATAGCAATTAGCAGGGATGGTGTGCCTGGCCTCTGTTTGCCAAGTGACAGGGGATGGATAACTTGATGCTTGCTTGTTCTGTTAATTCCCTCTGGAGCATCTTGCATTGGCCACATACTGGGCTAAATGGATCTTTGATCTGACCCAGTATGACTGTTATGCTCTTACAGGATGTTAAACATCGCATATTCCAATATCCCGGAAAGAACAATATCAAGTATATAGTAAAATTTCAGTTGAGTAATGGAATTTTTTTTGTTCATTTCAGTAGCTGGATAATTTAGCCAATCAAAGTTTTAAAGGCAGTTGTACTCAGATATCTGAATATGTAATACGGTTTTACCCAATGTCTGTCTTAACTATTTGGGCTGTAAGCTCATTAGGATAGGAGACTGTGCCTGCTGTAATGTGGTTTAGTCCATGTTGGGGTGCTCATAAGTGTTCTGATAATAAAAATAATAAATATAGATTCTAGAGCGGAGAGGTCTCATCTCTGTAATGAATTTTCAAATAGTGTGACTCATTTTTATTCGTAGCCAAAAAGTTTTCTATTCCTAAAGAATGAGAAGTCACTGGTGGTTGCCCAGCATTGTCAAAGAATAACTCTCTTAATGTGAAAAGCTATAGTTAGGTTTAAAATGTGTCTTGCTTATTAACTATTGGACAGTGGGATTGGTAAGTATAAATTACTGGTCAATTTAGTCTTAAAACTGTTGTATAAAATCTTTAAACATGTTACTAATGATAGCATCTGAAATACTTTATCAGTAGTACAGAGTTGTGGAAATCAACTGATTTTTTTTCAACTTGGCCAATGATAAAAAGTATATATATGGCCTTTTAACTTATGGAAATATTTTCAGGCAACACATTAAATGATTTTAAGCACTTATTCCTTTCATTTCAGCAAAATAAATGTTGTTCAGTATTCACTATTCATAAGAAAATAACAAATACATTGCAGTAGAGCATATATTCTTTCCATATACAAAAATGAATATTTTTTGTATTTCACTTCATTAATTGAAAGTGAATACAGGTTGAACTTCTTTAGTCTGGCACACTCTCTGATCCAGCAACATGCGTGGGTTTGCATGATTTTAGTCCACACATCATGGGTGTGGCCAAGTTATCCATGATCCCATAAGGTTTGTTTAGTCATAGTCCTGGCTCTCAGTGTTCTGTGCTGTTATTTAGCTCTAATTTACTCCTAAATGTGCCATTGTTATTTTATGAAGATTATTCTTTGGGGTGGCTGGTGTAAGGAAACAAAGCAATAAGACTGCAGAATGAAATATTTTGCATTGGAATTGTGTATGTTTTCAGTATATCAATCTTTAAGCAGACATAAACAAAAATATATAATGAGATTGACACTGCCAATTCCTGCCCTCAGACAAACCTCTTATCTCCCACTCAAATAAACAGGTGCACATGCATATTTGAATTCAATCCGTAATGTGTTTAAAATAACTGGAGGTTGAGTGGGACCAATGGTTAAAGAACCATAAACATTTTAATACTTGCCCAATTTAAAGTGATTATCAATAATATAACATTTAATACAAAATAATCCCATTTTAAATTTAGCATCATAGCAAACTGGATATGTGATTATGTCTCCCTCTGACTGGCTTGTAGTGTACTCATGTGCTACTACTACTACTGTAGCATAGGTGGTAGACTCACATTTCTGGAGCTGAAGCTGCTGGGTTTGATACCTAGTGATGGATCTTGTTGTAGTTATGTACGTGTCTGATATGCAGCCAGTTAGGAAATGTGATTCCATACACAATTCATGTTAGGGAAATTAAAATGCATTTATGTAATCATGTAACTGCTGAAAATATCAGCAATTATATGTGGGGATGGGGGGGGGAGGGGAAGTGCATGCAATTGTTGCCTCTGTATCAGAGGCAACAGTACACTAGCTTAAGATAGCTCCGTGCATGTACTGGTTCCCAGGCTTATTGGTTAACTGAGCAAATGGTTACACTTTTGCATCCCTAATTCATATCACTTGGTACAGCTACTTTGTGTCCTTATATCAAGTAGTTGATACTTATGAATGTTTGCTTAGAGGAAACTTTGTTTTGGGCAGTGCATTTTAGAGGCTTAAAATGTGATGATCGTTCATACTTGGATATAAATATTATGTAGAAACCTTTATCACTGACTTTGTCAGAATGGTGATCTTTTAAATTGTTTGCAAATTTTTTTTACCTATAATACATAAATAAAAGTCTAAAGTACTGATGTACTGAATGTGGTTGACCCATTACATTGTTTCACTGGCTCTTATGAGTCATGCATAGTGCTATAAGAGAGACAGAGATTAAGCAGTGAAGTTCATGTGGTGATGCAATAATTAATTATACCTGTTTAGTGTAGTGAACAAAATGTAATTTGCTCCTAAGTTGTCCATTAATAAACCTACGTAGTGTGAAGTATGTTACTTGACTGTAAAATGGACATCCTCTTGAAAGTAGGGGAACATTGGGGAGGGGATGAAGTCAATGGAACCAAAGCATTTCTACCCTTGCTGAGAGCTGCAACAATGTGCAGTGTGCGTAGTAGTAGCTCGGAAACTGCTTGCTGGTTGGGTCAGGTATGACATTAGCTACAAATGGGGTTGGCGGGTGTAATGGCAGAAAACATGGTTGGACAAATATTTGAATAACATTCATGATTGTCTCATTAAATGTACATTTTTATGCTAATTGGGAAATCAGATAATTTTGTCTATCCGGTGCACATCAGATCTAGATGAAAAATTAATATGCAGGGCATCCCTGCTATAAGTCGCCTTGGTATACCTCCATTCTGCACTAAAGTCATTGGTGCTTGTAGGAACTGTTGCATTATAAGTACTTCCATTCCCCATTCTTAAGTCAAGAACCCCTTCCCCCCCCCAAAAAAAACCCAAATGGAAATCAATTGTGGGGGAATAAATTCCCTGCGTTTAAGTTATTTTGCTGTAATTCTAAGTTTTTGTTTTTAATTTATCTTGGACTTATAGTGAGGGCGGCCTGTAAACACTTTCTTAAAAAACCTGGGATTTAGACCTCATTTGGGCTAATCGCAGTTTAGTTATTGCTGATTGTGCCGTCACATTTGGGGGAAATATTTTGCCTGTCTTCAATGCCTTTAATTTTGTGATTTGGAATTCTTTTATTTTGTTATAGAATATGTGAAGTCTTTTTCTTTCTTTTTCTTTTTTTTTTTTTTTGGCAGTGTTTTAGAGCACTTTGCTGCAAGGGACCACCACCTCCACGACCTGAATATGACTTGGTTTGCATAGGTCTCACTGGTTCTGGCAAGACAAGTCTACTGTCACAGCTTTGCAGTGAAAGCCCAGAAAATATAGTGCCTACAACAGGTATGTGCTGCTGTCAGGAAGTTTTTTTTTTTTTTTTTTTTTTTTTTCAAGCAAAAGTAATGTTTCTAATTTTCAGTTAAATAATGCATTAGGTTTATTCCTTAAAATAATCAAAATAAAAATAAAATGATCAGGTTTTAAATATGTTTCCTATTAATTCAAGTGCACGCACTGGAAAAGGAATACAAGAACTAAACTATAATATGAAGAATAAAGCTAATTCTTGATTTTTGTAGCTCAGAAATTTAGATTTTACAAAATTTTATAAAGTTTGATAAAAATATATCAGGAAGCAGTTATCCAAGCGGAACATACATATTTCCTTGGCCACTTCTTGGTTAGTTACATGTTCATTGTACTACTTTGTACATTTTGTTTGAAAAGTGTGTGTCTTGTCATGTTTTTGTTTAAAGATGAATGGCTACACTAACTAGGTTAGGTTTAAAGTATCTGCTGAAGGCTCTGTAGATTTTCTACATAGCAACTCATTTTAAAAATCTTTTTAACAGTGTTTTGAACTGAGTAATCAGTTCAAAGGTGGGTTGCTCTTGGAAAACTTAGTGAGATTGTATGCTTTTATGAAAATTTCCCAGGAAACAATCTGGTGCATTTTAAGTCAGAGGAGTGCTCTTCTGTAACATTGGTGGTATATCTAAATTGTTAATTTCTAAAGGTCCTGCCTCCTGTGGATTTTTTCCGTAGTCACCAAAATGGAAGAAACAAACCTTTTGAAGTTTTATTCCTGAAGGGGCTTTGCTACATAGGCAAAAAGTGAGGGGGAAAAGGTGATAGTAAATGGGGTGAGATGAAGAAACTAGAGGACACACATTAAGACACAGGTCCTTCCAAAGTTCATCACAGCAGCACCATGGAATGTGTAAATAAGAAAGAACTTAGGGTATGTCTACACTAGCCCCCTAGTTCGAACTAGGGAGACTTATGAGGTTGACTGAAATTGCTAATGAAGCACAGGATTTAAATATCCCACGCTTGATTAGCATGTTCCCGGCCGGTCGCCATTTTGGAAACTGCCTAACCCGAAGTAACTGCCCGTGTCTACACACGGCAGAGAAGTGGGATTCCGAGATAAACCCCTTAGTTCAAATTAACTGTTAAACCTCATTCCATGAGGAGTAACAGTTAATTCGAACTAAGGGGTTTATCTTGGAATCCCGCTTCTCTGCCGTGTGTAGACGCGGGCAGTTACTTCAGGCTAGTCTGCTTCCAAAATGTCGACCGGCTGGGAATATGCTAATCAAGTGGGGATATTTAAATCCCGCACTGCATTAGCAATTTTGGTCTCCCTCTTTAGCCTCCCTAGTTTGAACTGGGGGCTAGTGTAGCTCTACCCATAATCAATGGTCAATATTTATTTCTGGGTACAGCTCTCTCTCTCTCTCTCTCTCTCTCTCTCTCTCTCTCTCTTTGGTCAGTAGAGGAAAGAAATGGAGCAGGGACAAGTTTAGATCAGAGAGAAATTCTGCAAACTGCAATTTACGTATCTTTTTCTGCTTTTTTTCCAGAAGAGGCTTTTCCAAAATTTGGCCCATCTACACGGGGGGAAATTTTGGAAAAACCTCCTCTTTTGGAACATCCCTTCTTCCTCATACAATGAGGAATACAGGGATGCTGAAAGAATGTGTCCGCTTTTTCAGAAACTGTTGTGAAAAAGTGGACACATTCCCTGGACATGGAAGAGTTTTTCCAAGAATCAGTATCCTGGAAAAGCTCTGTGGCAGAGACATAGCCAGGATGAAAAAGGAGTTAAATACGAAGACACAGAACTAAAACTTATAAATGTACCTATACCAGTGCAAGAAGCTTAAACACAAAGATAGGAGAATCAGAATGACTGGCAATGAGAAATGATTGAGAGTCACTAGGTATTAACGAAAAATGTTGAAATGACAAAAGTACATACCAAGGTATAAAATTAAAGAGGAGAAATTAAATCATAGAGGAGAGAGAGAGTAATCTTGTAATTTTTTTTTTTGTGAGCCTAATGATTGAGTAAAGTTGATTTGTTAGCATAATAGGGAATGTGTGCGTGATGACAGGGTTTGTATAAGAGGTTCGTGTAAATAAGTTTACACTATATTCCATACATGTGGTTTTGAGTTTTGCATTCTTGTCCTTCAGTGGCCTTAGCTGGTTTTCATGGTATGTTCAATATCCTCATATTTGCTTGCTTTTCAACTGTATTTAAATTTAAAACTGACTCAAGGTAATACGATTTCTTACACAATGTGTACTTAACCCATGGAATTACTTGCCATTACATTTGTATCATATAGAATTTTAAAAGGACAAAATTGTCCTGGTTCAGGGCATAAACCAACATTCAGGTCACGCGGTTAGGAACAAACTTGCTGTAATGTCATAATTGCTTCCTGTAAGGTTTCGTACATCCTCCTCTGAAGCATCTGTAATTGGCCACTGTCAGAACCTGAGTTCCAGAAGTGATTGCGGTCTGTCATAGTATGTCAGTTCCTCTGTTCTGTTCAGTAACCAATACAGAACTGGACTGACAAAGCAGCCCTTAGAATTGTACCTGAATTGTACCTTAGAATTGTACCTGACCAAACCATTTCAGAGATACTGTTTGTGCTGTGCTAGAAGTTAAGATCCTCAAACTTCTCTTCCTCAGCTTCATGATGGGCTGCTTTCCCCTTCCAATCCATTTTATCCGATCACTTAGTCCCTCTCATAACAAGTACCTGAACTGGATATTTGCCATATTAATCTAATGACCCTCACCTACTGTGGGAGAAGCAATTCTCTCGTCTGGTAACAAAGGAAAAATTTCTCCTCAACCCCTAAGGAAAAAGAGAAACTAACATAATACCTACGGTAGCTCTATTTCATGGATGGGGATGGTAGATGTTTGCCCAGCCTCAGTGTGTGTTGCATGTCAACAACTGAGGTGTCTCCCAATATCCAGGGCCACCCTCTGTAAGAGTCCTGTTTTATCTCACCGCTGCCCAGATGCTGTGTATATGTATCTTGGATACTTTGCCCCAATTTCTTCAATTTTTGCAGGGATTTAGCTGCAGCAACATTGGGTTGTGACCCAATTTCCATTGGAATATTGGCCACCCTGGGCCATGCCTCAGTTCCCCAGATTTGGTTCTCAATATCTGCTGGGAGCTTGGTCATAGCAACCCTGTCTTTTTTCCTAGTGTTGGTCCCCAGTTTATGCTGGAATCTTGGCTGCAGACATGCTCTGAATTGTGCCTCATTTTTTCCAAATGTTGTTCCCAGTTTCAACTGGACTATTCACATTTTCTTGTGGTATGGGGCAGTATGTAAGCAACTAGTCAACTACTTGATAAGCATAAGCTTATCGGATAGCCGAGTAGTGACTCAACCCCCGCCCCCCCCCCCCCCTCCTGCTGCTGCTACCTATCAGAGGCAGAAAGGTGGGGGAGCAGGAGCTAGTGCTGGGAGAAGCCAGCTTAAAACTGGTTCCTCCTATCATTTTCTCCAAGGGGGGCAGGAGAGGCAGAGGCGTAGTGGGGGACCAGGCATGAGCCAGGAATAAGCTGATTTCCAGCTTGCACCTGGTCCCAGATGCTATGCTTCTGCTTTTTCATGGGCAGCTACCTATGGTGGCAGATTCTCCCTAGATGGTAGGAGGCAACTGGGCCTAATAGGGCAAGCATTGGGGCCCATTGTGATGGGTTGCAGTGCTACTCATTTATACTTGGCCAGGCCAAACCTGAGTCAGTGATGATGATCCTGATGCCTGGTTAGTTGGATTGTCAACTAGTCGCTTACGTCCATAATGCAGCCATCTAGAATACATACTGCTCATGTCTCTGACAGGGTTATAATTTATGCTACATCATTTATTAACCTTAATATTAATAGTGAACAAGAAAATCTTGCTTTAAGTAAAACAAGGTATGCAGTTTAACTTATTTTCCTTGAGTCTACATGTATGTTAAAAATCTTAGGATGCTTACCTCATATTATTGATGATGATGCAAAGCTTCACTGTCAGTGAAAAATTTTACAGGGGTTGCCAAAAATATGCAAATTCTATCAATTTCTGTTTTTTCGATTTGCATCCACAAACCATGGTTAAGGAAGAATGTGGAAGATGGGGTAATGCTTCATCACACAAATTATTAGCAGAAAGGAATTTCTGTGGCTGTTAATAAATCTCTAATTAAAGGAAATTTATGCTGACAACCTTATAGGTAGAGCCTTACCAAATTCACGGCTGTGAAAAATGTGTCAGACTATGAAATCTGATCTCCCCAGTGAAATCTGGCTGTTGTAGGGGAAACCAGATTTCATAAAGCTGAGCAGCTCGAGAGAGGCATCTGCTGACTAGGAACCCAGCTTTGAGGGTAGCATCACCAGCAGTAGCAAAGAAGTGCAGATAGCATGGTATGGGGTAGGGATGTGAATGGTGGGAAGGGCCTGATTAGATCCACCGCTGGGAACCTCCCTAGCTGCAGAAAGCTTTGCATCTGCTACCTGGAAGCTCCGCTCTGAAGGTAGTACTGGGTGCTAACAGAAGTGAGGGTGGCATTGCCATCTTACTTTTGTGCTGCTGCTGTTGGTGGCACTGCCTTCAGAGATGGGGACTCAGGCAATAGCTGCACTTTGGCTGTTGCGCTGTGAAGGCAGCAGTGCAGAAGTAAGAGTGGGAATTCTAAAACACACACACACACACCCCTACCTTTTTGGTTTTGGGTCTCTATGGTTATAACACTGAAATTTCACATTTAAATATCTGAAATCATTAAATTTCATATGACTGTGAAATTAGCCAAAATGTACCGTGAATTTGGTAGGGTCCTATATATAGGCCTACTTGTATTCATAGTCTTCTGTCCAATCTATATTTAATGTGATTGAGTAGCCTATCTAAAATCACTGAACATAATCATTTTAATGGATACAATCTATTTCAAAATGTCCTTTCAAATAAGTTACTAACACTCTGTTTCTAATTTTAGGTTTTAGCATAAAAGCAGTGCCATTCCAGAATGCCATCTTGAATGTAAAAGAACTTGGAGGTATAACAATTTTAATCACTTGCATATCTGATAGGTATTTTACTTGCATTTCAGTGTGTAAAGGTACAGTATCGTAGTCTCAGATTAGAACACCTCTACTTGATAACTTCACTATGGGCACCTTAAATAGGGAGTTGGTAAAAGATAGGAGCCCTGGAATATTTAAGATTTCTGCTTGTTTTGTCATAATTATTTTAAATGTCAGAATAATGGGAAAGTGTGACTGATGTTAATTTATAAATTAATGTCAAAGCATCGTAACTTGAAGAATATGCAACAGATTTTCATAAAGTAAATTGGATTATACTGCATGTTATGTCGTTTAATCTCTTGAACCCTAAAAATGAGTGCACATTGTATAAATGTAATACATTTTGGGCCAACTTGTAGCCTTGCTAGAATAGCAACACAGGAAGGTATTTTCTTATCCTCCTTACTTGCTACTTGCATCACAGATGATAATGTATAAGAGGAAGCATTCACAGCAGAATCTACATTTGAGTCTTCACTCTAGAAATAGTCCTCTCCTGGACTACAGAGTCCAGAAACAGGGAGGTCTGGCACTGGGTCACAAGTGCTATAGGGGGCACCAACGACTCAGCCGGAAGCGTGTGTGTGTGGGTGGGTGGTAGGGAGGAATGGGCAGCACAGCGTGGAGCTCTGGCCTCAGCAGCAGCCGTGGAGCCCCAGCCCTCGCTGTGGCCGGGGAGTTCTGGCCCCAGCTGCAGAGCTCCAGCCTCAGCCACGGAGCCAGACAGCTCTGGAGCCCCAGCCCCAGAGCCAGGTGGCTGCAGAGTTCTGCACCAGCTACAGAGCTCTAGCCCTAGCCGCAGAGCGAAACGGCTATGGAGCTCTGCTCTGGCTGTGGAGCTCCAGCTGTGGCACTCCAGTCTTGGCAGCAGCAGGACTGGTGGCATTGAGAGAGCCCTGGGGGACTGAGGCAGCAGTGGGGTTAAGCTGGTGCCCTAACCCGGTGGCAGCCTGGGTAAGGAGAAGAGGGACCTCCCCAGTTTGGCATATCCCCTCGTTTGGGGGTGCCAGCGACTATTCGGCTGAGCAATTCTTTACTTTGTGATGTTGTGAAAAATCACTTGGGGCCAAATTTTAGAGTCTAAATGCAGTCTGTTAAAGCTAGATGTCAGGTAACTAATTACTGATTAAAACTAGAGGCCTCCAGTACCCAGCCTGATTTTTAATTTAAGTATTTTTAATACTTTTCAAAGTGGGAGGGATGTTCTCTGTTGGACTGTGGTTAAGATTCTTCTAAGGGGAAGGAGGGGTTTTTGGAGAGCTACAAGTTAAGGCCTCACTTGGAAAGAGATGTATGGCAGCTGTTAAATATGTTTATATTTTCTGAAGAAGTAACATGAAGACTGGAACACCTTTGACTTCATTGTAGTGCGTCAGTGTGTTGATCCTGTCAGGCAATGTTGGCCGCTGATATTTTTCTCTTTCCTATGTTTGTGTATAGGAGGAGAATTGCTATATGCAGTAGACTACACCGTTTCTGTATTGGTATAAACAATGTACAGAAATAAATCTTATCAGTTTAGTTTTTGTAACTTCTTTTTCTCTGCTAAACTTTGTTCTGGAATTTCTGCTGTTGGTGTTGAGGGAGAGGGGCCTGTATTTGGCCGCTGATATTTTTCTCTTTCCTATGTTTGTGTATAGGAGGAGAATTGCTATATGCAGTAGACTACACCGTTTCTGTATTGGTATAAACAATGTACAGAAATAAATCTTATCAGTTTAGTTTTTGTAACTTCTTTTTCTCTGCTAAACTTTGTTCTGGAATTTCTGCTGTTGGTGTTGAGGGAGAGGGGCCTGTATTAGGTTAGTTTTGTTATATCCGTTTCCTCGCTCCCGCCCCCTGTATTTCCGTTTCCCCCCGCCCCCCCCCCCCTCCCTCCAGCATTAATATGTTGTGGCTGAGTTTTGTTTTCTGTACTATAGCAGTCTTGTCTGGGCAGCTGATGTTGAGAATCTGGAGAGGCTGAAAGGAATCTGTCTTCAAAGGTTCATTATTCATTGCTGCATGTCAATCAAAAGGGAAAAGTTCCGTTTAGATTTTAATTTGTGATGTACTCAATTAATTTAAAAATAGCTTTGCAAATTTAGCCTTTAGAACATTGAAAACCTTGTCCACTTGCCTGAGCATAGTGGAGTTTTTTTTAAATACTTTAAGGACTGACTGTTAAAACTCATACTCTTTTTAGGTTTCTTCTTTCAGCAGCCAAGCAGTTATGTGAAACAGATGCTGATTGTGTACTATTCCTTTTGTTTAGCTGAAGGAATACTCCTCCTTGTAGTGGAAGGTGGGGCATGTTTGTACTATGCTAGTTACCTCCTGGAGCTGCTTATACAGCCAGGTTTGTGTTTCTCTGTTTCTGTAGAATTATACAAATAAAATTTTATTTACATCATATAGAAAACACAGCCACTTGCATATTGTCGGTTCTTGGTCTCGTTAATTCTTCATCATTCTCTAGTATTTTCTTGGGATTGCGCAAAGCTTGCAGTACTCTGTTGCAGACATTTTCCATTTATCAAACACTCCTTTTTAGATTCTTAAAAACAATAAAAAAGTGAATTAACATGTTAAATTTTCTGATTATTTGACTCCTGGTGTATCCTGACTTCTTGCATCATGTAAATGAACAGAATAGTTTTGTATTTTTGCATTGAATCTGATTTTTTTTAAAATCTAATTTCTCAGTTTTTTGTTTTAAAAATAAGATTCTGAATCAGTAAGAAAATCAGTGGAGACTATAAAATCACAAATACTTGAAAAGCCATTCTTCCTTCATTTGCCTGCCAAGTTCAGTGTCCAGAGTTAAGTTTCCCTTTTGACACAGCAAATGTGTAATTCTTTTAGTTAAATTTCAAGGAAATAAGTTTTGAATTTGAGTAAATATCTAATCAAAGAAACAGATTCTATCTACTCAATAAATTTTTACATACCCTTTTTGAGTCTCTGGGTTAAGATATTTTTACTGTGCAAATATAAATAGTCTTTTCTCACTTAACTTAGGCACACCATGAAGTAGAGGAGTTGGAGGTCCAACATACCCCTAGCATGGTATTATAAGCAGGAACTGCACCTGATTGAATCTGAAATGTGGGAGATGGGAGAATGAAGATGTGTGAAGAGACTGGAAAAATGTCAAGGCAGAAGCTGAGTTTGGCTGCTTAAAATTTTTAAAAAATGAATTTGGTGATGGATTAAACTGAGTTCCTGGGTTTATCCGAAGTACAGTTACTACAGGGGAACACCAATGCCAAGCTCCTTTTTATTGTCTGACCAAGAAGCTTTATTCAGAATTTGAAGACACCATGTTTAGAGTGATAGTAATTTAGTCAGTGTGATCCTTTGGTTATTGGCTTCATGATATTACCAAAATTAGTGCTAGTTATTGCTGGCCTCTGAGACATCAATACTTACAGGGAATTAAATCAGGATTATAAACCCATTTCAGAATAATCACATCTAATTAAGGTTTATATCATGTAGTCATGTAAGTTTGGAGACCAGAAGAAGCAAATATCCTCTTTTAATTCACCATACTGTAAAGTGAGGGTTGAAAACTGTGGTCAAATATTTATAATTTCTGGACTGGGATGGATTTGAAGGATTAATTAGAGGTGGAAAGTTCTAGGCCTTTTTCAATTCCTCTTGATTGTCAAATTGTGGCTGAAGACGGTTTTCACTATTGGCAAATTCTAAACCTCTTCCAGCAATGGTTCAACGCAAGTCTTGCACCACATTTCTGGAGTTCTGCTCCTTGCTTCATCTGTGTGTTTTTCAGGAAATATCTCAGTGAAATCATAGAGCTTTGAAATATTGTGGCCATTCAAGAAATGAAGTTGAGATGTAGTAACAAATTTTAGATAGAGGACCGGCAAGAGTTTTTACAATAAGATTACATGGCTGATTTAATTTTGGAAGTTCATTTGTTGTTTACTCCTTATTGACAATGAAGGAGTATGAAGGAGAGGTTTGAGGAACAGTAAAGAATGAGTAGCTTGTTGAATTATAATTAAGAGGCTATTCCATGTGTAGGAAGCAGTTTAGAAAAAGTAATTGCTATAGAAGATGTGGATCAATCAAGGCGAACATCATCAGAGGATATAGGAGATGAGTACTACTATAAGAATAGATTGAAACATTGAGGATGGAGTTATGCTTTTTTAAGAAAGTACAAGAATTTCTTAACTGTTGAATGATCAAGTCTGCTAGGATGCTCATTGCTTGAAAATCCCAAATTCTTTAACATTGCATCCTTATCAGTGTACACTAGGAGGAGATTATATCAACTTTAATGGTCTATAATGGTTTCCTGGTCAATTTCTAGGAACTTGTTCCTAAATCACAAAATACATGTACTTAAAGTTCCTAAAAAGTACTCAAGCCACCCATTACATTACCAGGCTGGGTGGTCCTGTATCACAAGTGGTGTTTGGCAGCATTGAAGGTTAAGTGTTAAAGACTATTTACTGTTGTTTGGCAAACCCTGATCCTTCTTTGAAAGGCTTCCACTTCTGATGGTATTTTGTCCTACAACATATTGTGGAGCTTTTTCTATGCCCGGGATGTTCTTACATCCTCTTCATCTTGGCTATAATGGCCAGAGCAGGCCTAACCTAATAATCTCTGTTTCTTCTGACTTCCTGCAGCAGTGAGACAGAATCCTTGCAACTGTCCACTTCTCTGAAAACTGTGAAACTTTGCTAGTCTTGGAACTCAAAGATGAGGGGCAAGGGAAATGATACTGTTGGCAACCATAAGAATGGATTTTATAGGAGCTATGTAAGTTTCTTCACCATCAAGAGCTTGCTTAACATAGGGGAGATTTAAGACCATGTTAGACCATATCAAGCAGCTGCAAGCTCAACTAAAAACATCTGAAACAGTATGCGTCTTGCTTTTGTGTCATAGGCTCATAGAACTGGAAGGGACCTCGAGAGTTCATCAAGTCAAGTCCCTGCCCTCATGGCAGGTC